TCACTCCACTCACACACACACACACTCACTCACTCCACTCACACAAACACACACACACTCACTTCTCACTCACTTAAACTCACACACTCATTCACTCACACACACACACACAGACACACACACACTCACTCACTCCACTCACACACACACTCACTTTCACTCACTCACTCACTCACTCACTCACTCCACTCACACACACACACACACACACACACACACACACACACTCACTCACACACACAGACACACACACACTCACTCACTCACTCCACTCACACACACACACACTCACTCACTCACTCACACACACACACACACTCACTGAAGCAGCACTGGGTTATTGTCATTGATCTCCAGGATTGATGTTCTTCAGTCACACTTATAAGCGTCTGAATGTGTTTCAATTAGAAAACTTCAAACAAATGATGCCGGAGCTTTTCTCACAACTAACTAATATACTTTCATTTGTTAATATTAGTTAACTGCAATTAGTTAACATGAACTAAAAATGAAAAACCATTTATTAATCAGTTCATGTTCATTTTAACATTTACTAATACATTTTTTAAATCAAAAGTTAATATTATCATATTATTGAACCTGAGCTGACATGAACTAACAATGAAAAGTTACATTTTTTATTAACTAATAACAAAGATTAACACATATTGTAACAAATATATTGCACATTGTTAATTAATGTTAGTTAAAGCATTAAAAAAATGTCTCTCTTCTGCTGAACACAAAAGAAGATATTTTAAATATGTCGATCACCAGAAACTCCTGTAACCATTGAGTGTTTCTTTCCTGAAATGTTACAGTTGGACGTTCATCATCTGACACTTTTGAAATGTAACTTGTTTCTGAACATTCCGAGAACATTCGAAAGTAACATTCCCAGAACGTTTGAAGAATGATGAGATGGAATGTTCCCGAAACGTTCACATGATCAAGAAAAAAAACATTTTGAGAACAATCCTTGTAAAACAAACTCCGATATTCTTTATTTACAACATATAACTGATATTTAGCGGTCTCTCCTGCCAGCGTTCTGAAGGAAGACAGCGTCATCTGTTCTGGATCTTCAGTGGGACAGATGGAGGATCAGCTTCAGCGCTCGGCTGTTTGCTGTGGGAAGAGAAGCGCAGACACTTCCGTTGAGCAAGAGAACAAAACACTTTCCTTTTTTGGGTTTGTCTTTTACAGGTGAAACTCGAAAAATTAGAATATGGTGCAAAAGTTAATTTATTTCAGTAATTCAACTTAAAAGGTGAAACTAATATATTATAGAGACTCATTACATGCAAAGTGAGATATTTCAAGCCTTTATTTGTTATAATTTTGATGATTATGGATTACAGCTTATGAAAACCCCAAAGTCAAAATTAGAATATTGTGAAAAGGTTTTCATATCTGTAAGCCATAATCATCACAATTATAACAAATAAAGGCTTGAAATATCTCACTTTACATGTAATGAGTCTATATAATATATTAGTTTCACCTTTTAAGTTGAATTACTGAAATAAATGAACTTTTGCACCATTATTCTCATTTTTCGAGTTTCACATATTTTTCTATAGTATTTTCAACCTTCATTCATCGGACTGTATAATGTCGTGTTAGAATTGTTTAAAAGCATATTAATTTTGTGTGATGACTATAACTTTTTATATAATATTCGAATCTGTGCACACTGTAAAAATAATAATAATAAAAAGATCAAATATGTTTTTACATTATTTGAACTCATCAAAACAAGTTAAGCCATTTTCAATTTTTATGTTATATACGGACTCAACAAATCTTTTTAAAGTCAGTTTAATAATTTAAGTTTAATTGACTTAAACTTCCAATTTTGTACAGTACATACTTATGCAAATTTTACACATCTTGTTATTTTAAAAGTTTCATGGGTTAAGTCATAATATTTTCTTGTTTGATGGATTAATGTATTATTGAGCGTGGGAAATCAATGGGTTATTTCACGAGAGAAAGCCTAAAAATCACTAACGATGAAATCTAGGATGGGAAACGAACACTAGAAACATCTGTTCTCTGGCCAGCGCTGTAACATAAAGAAAAGCTTGATTACCAGAAGAACCGCTGCAGAACCACATGAATAGAGCGTGTTTGTCGGGAGCTCTGCTTTAGTGCTCTTCATCTCTTCTGATTTGCGTTGCCATGACAACGGCTCAGCTAACAATGAGTCCCATCGGGTTGTGTGTGTTTATCACCATCATCCTGTATCAGCGCTTCTCCGATGAGGATGATAGAAATATATATATAGATACTTTTACATTGTGACATTATTTTTGTCCATTAGTCATGCTATACATTTGAGGAATATTATTGTCTGCATTATGCTGAAGAAAAACACTCATGTGTGTGTTTGAGAGGTTATTAGACCGCTCTCAGATGCTGATGCACTGGTTTGATCTGAGATTGATGAGAGATGATGTGACGTATAGAAGGTCGTGACCCTGCAGATCAGCAGCACACACTGTTATTGTGCAACTTTATATCAGTTCATGCATGTAAATTTTCCTGGAAATCAATCCTGATCTTGGCATTGCTAGATGGTGCACATACAAAAAAAAAGTATATATATATATATATATATACATGCCTATCTATCCAGTTTGTTTGTTCGTTCGTTCAATTTTTAGTTAGTTCATTAGTTAGTTAATTCGTTAGTTAATTCCTTAATTAGTTAGTTAGTCCATTAGTTTGTTCGTTTATTAGTTAGTTCATTGGTTAGTTCATTGGTTAGTTAGTTAGTTCATGGGTTAGTTAGTTAGTCCATTAGTTAGTTTGTTCGTTTATTAGTTAGTTAGTTAGTTGTTCGTTAGTTGGTTTGTTATTTAGTTGGTTAATTTGTTAGTTTCATTACTTCGTAGACTTGTGCAACCTCATCTTTGTCCTGCCTGTCATGCAAAGAAATTATAAGCACATGCAAAAACAAGAGAGAAGGATGTTTGAGAAGTATTAATTTTATCTGACTTTTTGTTTGTTTTTCAATGTGATTTTTGGTTAATTGTATTGAATCCAGCAGGTCCAATTTGACCCAGATTATTGTGATTGGACGCAGAATTTGAACACATCAAGGTTTAAAACGCTTCCCGAATATCTCTCCGTTTACTGACTGCAAAAACTTCTTCCTCAGTATCTTTGTCTTATTCCCAGTACAAATATCTAAAGGTTCTTATATCAGCGTTTTATTGGAGAAGCAAAATGACTGAAAATATTAAGTCTTGTTTTCTGAAAAAATCATTAAAATAATAATAAAAACATCTGTCAGTGGGGACAGAAAAATAAACTCAATTGAAACTGAAAACTTGTTTCTTGTTTTAAGCACAAACTCAGTTCATTTTGATCAGTTTATCAGTAAACGACACTCAATCTCTGCAGTCGTTCTGCATCTCAGCGAGTGTGCTGATTTAAAGAGCGTCATGTTTCGGGCTTTGTCAGGTGTGTGTGTGTGTGTGTGTGTGTGTGTGTGTGTGTGTGTGTGTGTGTGTCGAATGCATCTGAGATTGCTCTGGATTTGATCTGCAGGTCTGGAGCGGCTCTCGTGTGTCTCAGGAGAAACACACACACACACACACGTGACGAGTCTCAGCCGAGGGAAAGCTCTTTCTCTGTGTTGTGGATGGGGTTTAATAGTGTGTATTAGGCTGATCTGTTCACTCCTTCGACAGATTACACTGTGAGAACTCAAACACACGACAAATCTGTTCATGTTGACATGTATGACGTGGACTTGGTCACCATAACTCACCCTATTAACTCTCTCAACTCAATTATAATTCTTCCACAAAGGAAATATCTACAGATTTTATTCTGGTTATATTCCTAAACCTTTATAATATGTTTATTCTTGCTCAAACCAACACTTTTAAAAAACAAAGGGGCATATGTAAACAATTTCCTTGTTTATTCCCATTTTTGCCTCTTCCACAATACAATTCAACTCTATTTTTTGAACGTTTGACACAAAAACAAATCATCAATTTGTGATCAATCTTTGTGATAAAAACCCTCTGATACAAGCTAAGGGCTTAGGCGGGTTTAAGGTGTTCGATATCTGCACTGTTGTGGTAATCCAGCTTTTAATGTTGTTTATGTGTCTATGTGGTGTTTTTAATATGCTTTAAGACAAACCATGAGTAAGTTCATAAGTCGACAGCATTGCTGAGTATTTTCTGCTTAAAACTGCAGTGAACCAAAGACAGTCTCAAAAACACGGGTTGAAATCGCTGGTGTTTCTGACGTCACAAACGACCTTGTAACCAATCAGATCAACGTGTGATCGTCAACCAGTGGATCTCTGAGCTGAGCGAGTGAGTGGAGGCGGGGCTCATTTGCATATTCATAGAACCGCGCATACTAAATGAGGCGAGGGTGTCGAGTTACATTCAAGATATTTTAAGGCATGAAGGGTTTATTTTTCCAAAGAAAACACGTTTAAATATGTAATTTTTTCAAAAATATGTAAAAGATTAGTTTTGAGGAATACAATTACAGGGGGACTTTAAAAAAAACTGAAAAGGTGCTGGTAATTTTCTGCCAGGATATTATCCGTTAATTTGACAGACATTTCCTGTGAGTGTGTGTGTGAGAGAGAGAGAGAGAGAGAGAGAGAGAGAGAGAGAGAGAGAGAGAGAGAGAGAGAGAGAGAGAGAGAGAGAGAGAGAGAGAGAGAGAGAGAGAGAGAGAGAGAGAGAGAGAGAGAGAGAGAGAGAGAGAGAGAGAGAGAGAGAGAGAGAGAGAGAGAGAGAGAGAGAGTGTGTGTGTGTGTGTATCAGTTGTATAAAGCATGTGAGTTTAGATGAGGGAATCATGAATCTACTGGGATGTAGAAAAGTGCGTGTGCGCGCGCGCGTGCGTGCGTCTGTGAGAGTAGAGAGAGAGAGAGAGAGAGAGAGAGAGAGAGAGCAGAGAGAGAGAGAGAGAGAGAGAGAGAGAGAGACTGCAGATCGTCTTCGCATCGCCGCGCACCTCTCGCGCGCAGTGATGCTCGCACCTGTCCCGACCCGCAACATCATCATCAGCATCAGGATCATCATCAGCAGCGGATCTCCATGACGACAGCGCTTCCAGCATGGTGCAGAAATCCCGCAACGGCGGCGTGTTCCCCGACGCCCCGCCGGCCGAGAAGAAGCTGAAGGTGGGCTTCGTGGGGCTGGACGCGGGCGCGACGGACTCGAGCCGAGACGGCGCGTTGCTGATCGCGGGCGCGGACGCGTCGAAGCGCGGCAGTATCTTGAGCAAACAGAGATCCAGCATCTCCGGGAAGAGGCCGCCGAAGCGCAACGCGTTCTACCGACGCCTGCAGAATTTCCTCTACAATGTTCTGGAGAGACCGCGCGGATGGGCGTTCATTTACCACGCTTACGTGTGAGTCTCTGCACCTTTAAGTGTTCTAAGTGTTTCTTCTGCTGAATCTGATGGCCATCAAAACAAAGCGCTTCTCAACCCTCTCTGTCTGTCAGCGTCCCTTCACGCGCTTGGCGAGGTGTTTACACGATTGTTCTGGCTGTAGAAGAACAGTTTCGAGCATCACTGGAACAAAGCTTCTTTAATATTAATAGTTCGGTCTGGAGCCAGATCTACCCAAAAAACCCTGTAATAGATTGTTATTATCGATTCTGAATGTGGCTTGTGGAAAAGCGCTTAATATGTTTGGCAGGATTGTTCTATTAATTGATGACGTTACTTTCCTTCCGGTTGTTTAAATCTTTGTTTATGTGAAGATCTGCACCTTTGAGTGTTTCTTCTGCTGATGGCCATCAAAACAAAGAGCTTCTCAAACCTTGGCGAGATGTTTACACTGCATTTCTTTCATTTATTCATTCTTATATAGCAATGCAACACGGGTTGCCCAAAGTGCTTCACATTCAATACATAAAGATAACAAATACACACTGGAAACCCCTCATGAGTGTTCTCACATAGCTTTAACAGATGTGATGTTAGCCTAAATTTAAAAGTAGTAATAGATTTGGCTGATCTAATGGAGACGGGAGATCGTTCCAGAGTTTTGGACGCACTCACACATCAATAAATCGCCCTTATGTTTATATATTTTGTGTTGCTGACACACAGAAGAAGCTGATTCTCTGATCTCAAGGATCCGGGCGAGTATATGTGTATGTGGACCACATGTTGGACATGTACAACGGGTCGGTGCCTGATTGTGAAGAGCCTTAAAAACAAGTATACGAATCTTACACGATTGTAGAAGAGCTGTTATGGCCATCACTGAAACAAATCTTCTTTAATATTAATAGTTCAGAGCCAGATCTACCCAAAAACCCTTTAGTGTTGATTCTGAATGTGGCTTGTTGGAAAAGCGCTTCATGTTTAATATGTTTGGCATTATATGTTATATTCATAATCATATTTGCCCAAAGAAAGAACCCTTTTCTTCTGAAGTGAATCTGATTATCTGCTGATTAACTGTTTTCTGCTGCACTTTTGATGTGCATTAATGCATTTTACTGATTTTTAGCAATAGAAGATTTCCTTCTTGTTGCTGATTATATAATTCTATAAGATTCTTTAAAGCTTTTTTAATAGTTCGAGTTTTATAGGCTGATATATTAATGTTTAGCACCAAAGATCTGTCGTGCTTGTGTTGTGCATCTCATGCGGTTACAGATGTTTATATTGTTCAGAAATGAAAAAATGCTTGTATGACTTTACGATGTTTGGTTATATCCCTCTGAAAGCTTGCTTTTAATAGTTATTCAACCAGAGAATCGTTCTCAAATTGCGTTCAGGTTGAAGGTTCGCGTTACAAGCCAAAGAAACTCAATCTGATGCTGTTTAGAGGCACATCTTATGCTTGTCAGATATTCAGTTTCAGCGTTCCTCGTCCTCAACTTGGCCAAAGCTCATGTGAACCTGGATTTTCAATTGAAATCCCGCAGAATGTCGTTCCTCGTTCTCTCTCAGGAACATCCAGACGTGTTCTCGTGTCTGTAACTCGTATTATAAACATTCAGAGCGACACACTGAAGGCAAGGCGAGTTTACTTACATAGCACATTTCATACACAATGGTAATTCTAAGTGCTTTACATAGAAGAAATTAAAATAATCAAAAGAAGTAAGAATAATTAAAACAGTTTAGAATAAAAAAGAAAGTAAAATATAGTGTAATCTATGGAAGCTTGTTTCGTCACATAATGAAAAATAAAAAAGGTAATTGCGACTTTTTATCTCACAATTCTGACTTTATTTCTCACAATTGTGAGATATAAAGTCAGAATTGTGAGATATAAAGTCAGAATTGCGAGATATAAAGTCAGAATTGCGAGATATAAAGTCAGAATTGCGTGAAATAAAGTCAGAATTGCGAGATATAAAGTCAGAATTGCGAGATATAAAGTCAGAATTGCGAGATATAAAGTCACAATTGCGAGATATAAAGTCAGAATTGTGAGATATAAAGTCAGAATTGCGAGATATAAAGTCAGAATTGCGTGAAATAAAGTCAGAATTGCGAGATATAAAGTCACAATTGCGAGATATAAAGTCAGAATTGTGAGATATAAAGTCAGAATTGCGAGATATAAAGTCAGAATTGCGTGAAATAAAGTCAGAATTGCGAGATATAAAGTCAGAATTGCGAGATATAAAGTCAGAATTGCGAGATATAAAGTCAGAATTGCGAGATATAAAGTCAGAATTGCGAGATATAAAGTCAGAATTGCGAGATATAAAGTCAGAATTGCGTGAAATAAAGTCAGAATTGCGAGATATATAGTCAGAATTGCGAGACATAAAGTCAGAATTGCGAGATATAAAGTCAGAATTGCGAGATATAAAGTCAGAATTGCGAGATATAAAGTCAGAATTGCGTGAAATAAAGTCAGAATTGCGAGATATAAAGTCACAATTGCGAGATATAAAGTCACAATTGCGAGATATAAAGTCAGAATTGCGAGATATAAAGTCAGAATTGCGTGAAATAAAGTCAGAATTGCGAGATATAAAGTCACAATTGCGAGATATAAAGTCACAATTGCGAGATATAAAGTCAGAATTGTGAGATATAAAGTCAGAATTGCGAGATATAAAGTCAGAATTGCGTGAAATAAAGTCAGAATTGCGAGATATAAAGTCACAATTGCGAGATATAAAGTCACAATTGCGAGATATAAAGTCACAATTGCGAGATATAAAGTCAGAATTGCGAGATATAAAGTCAGAATTGCGTGAAATAAAGTCAGAATTGCGAGATATAAAGTCACAATTGCGAGATATAAAGTCACAATTGCGAGATATAAAGTCAGAATTGTGAGATATAAAGTCAGAATTGCGAGATATAAAGTCAGAATTGCGAGTTATAAAGTCAGAATTGCGTGAAATAAAGTCAGAATTGCGAGATATAAAGTCACAATTGCGAGATATAAAGTCAGAATTGCGTGAAATAAAGTCGCAATTGCGTGAAATAAAGTCAGAATTGCGAGATATAAAGTCACAATTGCGAGATATAAAGTCAGAATTGTGAGATATAAAGTCAGAATTGCGAGATATAAAGTCAGAATTGCGTGAAATAAAGTCGCAATTGCGTGTTATAAAGTCAGAATTGTGTGATATAAAGTCAGAATTGCGAGATATAAAGTCACAATTGCGAGATATAAAGTCAGAATTGTGAGTTATAAAGTCAGAATTGCGAGATATAAAGTCAGAATTGCGAGATATAAAGTCAGAATTGCGTGAAATAAAGTCAGAATTGTGAGATATAAAGTCAGAATTGCGAGATATAAAGTCAGAATTGCGAGATATAAAGTCAGAATTGCGTGAAATAGACACAATTGTGAGATATAAAGTCACAATTGCGAGATATAAAGTCAGAATTGTGAGATATAAAGTCACAATTGCGAGATATAAAGTCAGAATTGCGAGATATAAAGTCAGAATTGCGTGAAATAAAGTCAGAATTGCGAGATATAAAGTCAGAATTGCGTGAAATAAAGTCACAATTGCGTGATATAAAGTCAGAATTGTAAGATATAAAGTCAGAATTGCGAGATATAAAGTCAGAATTGCGAGATATAAAGTCAGAATTGCGTGAAATAGTCACAATTGCGAGATATAAAGTCAGAATTGCGAGATATAAAGTCAGAATTGCGAGATATAAAGTCAGAATTGCGAGATATAAAGTCACAATTGCGAGATATAAAGTCACAATTGCGAGATATAAAGTCAGAATTGTGAGATATAAAGTCAGAATTGCGTGAAATAAAGTCAGAATTGCGAGATATAAAGTCTCGCAATTGCGAATTAATTAATGACTTAATTATCTCAAAATTATGAGTAACTCATTAATTCATAAAAACAGAGTAGATTTTTTTCCTCAAGTGAATGCAATACGCTTCCGTATTAATACTTTAAAATCAATCCTAAATGTAACTGGGAGCCATTGTAAAGACCTGAGGTGGGATGTGTCCATATGCTCAGAATCATGAATGCTGATGCCCTGCTTCATCATCACAAGCTGAATTACAAACGTCTGCGATCACCAAAAACACACATGCACTGTTTCATCAACAGCGATCGCATCTGATCCGTTTATATGCATCAAATTACCTTCAGTCTAGTGCTCCAGTGCAGTCAAACCAAACCAGTCAACATTTCTCACATTATCACAGTTCATTCACTATAGAAAATGGTAATAAAATATGACAAGAGTTATTAAATCAGTTGATATTTGACTGGTTTTGTCCGTCCTTCTGTTAGACTCTCACATGAATTATGTTGAATATCTGTCAGCTGTTAAATTTAACTACACAATTAGATAATACCAGTTTAGCTCAACCAGTGACCAAGCAATGCTTCATGTTGTTCAGTCTGTGTGTAAAAAGAGCATTAGCAATTACAGAAAACACACTGAAGAAAACATGATCAGCTCAAAGTGGAGGAATCATTTTTGCTCCCAAATGTCACTGGTAGTCACTGTATGAAGAATTATTGGGTATAATATGTCACAGTTTACTTTATTTTGCTCTCCTCACTTACATTAGTGAACTATAGTGTCCTGCACACACTAGTAAAAACATATGAAAAATGATATCTGGAGTCTGGATAAGTGTAGATGATGTATGTTGTAGTGTGTCAGCCGCAGATGGCGACCCGGTGTCTTCACAGCGGTGTAATAATCCATCCATTCATTAAAGTGAGGCGGTGGTTTCAGCACCACAACACACGGACAGCTCCCGATACACACACCATCCTGAGACACACACCATCCCGATACACACACCATCCTGAGACACACACCATCCTGAGACACACACCATCCTGAGACACACACCATCCCGATACACACACCATCCTGAGACACACAACCATCCTGAGACACACACCATCCCGATACACACACCATCC